TAGGGAAGAATATGCCCCGCGTCTTACGGAGGCATTCGAGGTTGTAGTGGTCAAGAACGTGAGATCAACTCAAAACACACACAATAATTTTACTCCGTCTGGTGACAGAAGCCAGTAAGTTGTGAGAATGGGTTTATTCTGTACAAAGGGCAGGTGGCCGTAAGTTGGCTGTATGCTTGTGTCAGAGATAAGTCTTCGTTCTGGAGAGCGTCAGTTGCGGAGCCTTCAGTGTGTCGCTAACACCAACAATGTGTTGTGTGCTTCTCGCCTCTGTCCTGTGCGTTCAAAATCGCGTCCGCAAGGGCGGCGTCTCGTGTGTGAACTTGTAACCAATCAGCGATAGAAAGTTGCGTTGATTGGCTCCAAGGCCATGCGAAGGCAGTGGCACATCGTCGACCAGGGGTAAAGAACAGATATTTGTAGTTAAGTTTGTTTTAATTCCTTTGTTAATGCTCTCCTGAGCGACAATCCGCTCTCTTTGAAGCCACGGTGACGGATCACCAAGTGGACGCGCAGGAGGTGAAACCCCGCGTACCGACGCCTAGACAGGAAGGAGGGTAAATCGGAGGAAAACTGGCGCGTAGCTTCTGGTTCCCTTACTCCATTGTCGCCTTCTTTACCCCTCTGCCCCACAATTTACAATTCGTCTTACTCCTAGTTCTCGATTCAATAAACGTTAGTTTGTTGGAAGTTCATTTCTGGTATTGGCTGTTGAAATTCGCGTGATCATACCCATAAGACCCTCACACAAAGGAGAGACGTGATGGATATGTCTGCTATGCCTTCTACAGACGAACAGCCTCAACACCTTCCCAAAGACCCCAACACAGACGAGACCAAGCCATCAGGTAACTCGAGTGTGGCGTGGACGGGAGTGCAAATCGAGGGCTAGCGTGCGCAACCGTGGCGCGTAAACAGTAGAACGAGGGGACAGAGAAAGGGCTGCTACAAGGTAAAGGTCGACTTAAAAGTTAAGCGTCATTTACTTGCTGATAACGTCAATATTCCTGATGTCTTTAGCCTTCCGAATTCGGTCTCTAGAAATTCCGGCGTTTTACCCAAAATGGCGAATGTTTGTGTGAAATATCGGGGTGTGGCTTGCTAATCAAGCACATTTGTTTAATCTCCTGTAATGGCTGTCTCCGATACCCTATATAGGCCAGTCCTGCTCGACCCGCATATTTTCCCTTTCATGAACGATATTTTTTCCTTAAAAGTTAACCACTTCCTACTCATTGTTTCTTATTCATAACGAGTCTTTTTCACTGCTAGCTTGCCGTTTTAATATCTGACTGTTTGTTCTACAACCGTGAACTTAATAATGTACGGAGTCGGTGTACTGGTTTTAAAATTTACCTGAAAATATGTTTTTACTTGCTATTATAGTATCCCAAGGATCGTAAATAAATTAATTTAATTAATTGTTTGTTAGTATCTCATTCTGATGTCCAGACAACAGCATAGTTTTCGTCCATAATATCTTTAAGTTAATCTTACTCTTTAGGAAGTGTTTGGATTCTCCTTCGATTTTCGGCCTGCTCATTGAGAAAATGCATTAACGCATTCTGATTCGCACTACCGTACTGATTTCTTTCAAACTTCGTCTATGGATGTTTATATTAATAGGTCTTCAAAACACTTTCTTCTCGCTTTGTTCCCCATTAGGAGATTATTTAATGTAATTTAATTTAATTTATTAAATGCCAGTTTACAGGCATTGTCAAGGGAAGCAATTAAAAACAAATCCGACCAGCAGTGAAAAAAAACTCCTGAAGAATAAGAATATAGTTGATGATGGTTTTTATGGTTTGAAAGGTTCAGGAGAAAAAAAACTGCTGGCGGCATACATTCGACCGTCAAGAAGGGGGGAGGGGTTTGCACGGTATCGGAGATCATCGGCCGTCAATTCCTTTCATGAAGTCGGGGATAGTCAAAGTAGAGGCGTTGAGGAACAGCTGGTAAGACCGCCCATAGTATTCAGAGACCAAAAACGCCATCGTTACGGTAGAGTCGATCAGTGGATTCAGAACTCAAGATTTGAGGAAGCTTTTCTGAATGCAAAAATCGAGTAATAGTTCTCTTAAATAAAGGATAATTTTGCAGCGTTTTCGCACTCATGGGTAGTTTCTTCCAAATAGCAATTGCATTTACAGAATAGACCCGACGATATTTAACAGTACGTGCCAGAGGCAGAAATAAGAAGACCTCACGGTGACTGTTACGTCGTGGGTGGATATGATGTCTTAAAGACGTGAGTGGGTTAAATGTGTGGTTATATAAGAGTTTAAATAGCAAATATAGTCCCATTTGTAATCTGCGGAACCATAAAGGATCGAGGCCTGTAAGCCGGCAACGTTCTTGGTAAGACAAATGTTGGTGTTCCGCGGCTAAAATTCTCTTGGTAAAAAAGTGTTAAACGGATTCTATTTTCTTCCGCTCAGTAGCACGCATGAGGCTAAATGAAAACGAACAGTATTTCAGACCAGGTCTAACGTACATGTTGTAAAGGCGCATTCTGATGTCCCTAGTTTTAAAGTTTCGGAGGATAAACCCGGTCAGATTAGCTACCGTAGCTACTATTCTAGGTCTTCTAACACCTGAATCTGAAACGCAACATTTCCGTTCCGCCACTGATCCACCGAACCTTCCAGTGGGCCAAGATGTACAATGGGAGCTCATAATAGAACGCAATACACCATCCTCTCGTATACTCTCGGTCAATATCGGTCGCTAAGATAACCACTGCTATCACTCCTCCCCCATAGCGACAATTTTCGCGGTTTTTGATGTCATCTCCCGCATTCTGATCTCATGCGGTCTGTCGACGTTCACGGCGGAACCCTCAGTATTCGCCGTTTACTAGTAGTTTGGTCGTACCTCCCTTCCCCACTGCTCGGCTGAGCTCGAAGCGTGCTGTTGCCAATCGCATCTGGATTCCTCTCGTCTGGCCTCTTTGACGCGAATAGTCTCATCCGGCGTATCAATCCGGCCCAGACGATACCAATTGTGAATCCCGTATACAATGCCATATGCAGGCCAGTCCTGTCTGACCCGCATACGTGCCCCTCAAGGCTGACATTTATTGCTACCCTGACGATGACCGACAACAATCCGTTTTATACCGCCACCTACAGGCCAGTCCTGCTGGCTTTTTTCTGTCATTATTTTTATTGAGGAGTTTTTTTCTCCTGTAAAATTAATCCAATCATTTTTAACTTTTTCTATGGAGTTTTTTTTCACCCCTCAGTCATCATGTTTCTCAATGGACTACTAATCCGGAAACTATGAATAGCATTTTGTAAAGATTCGGCCTACCTTATCTAAAACTCGCCTGTAAATTTATTTTACCTTGCTTTGATGTGACCCCGACGGGTCTTTTATAAAACTTATCTATCTATCTAGATGTTAAAACGATCCTGACGTCCGGCTCTGAAGATCTTGCGGTCTCACATCTGGCTGAGATGGCGGATCGAATCATAGAGGTGCAGCAGTTCCAGTCACCTTCCGTTGCCAGATCTCATCCTCATCGTCAGTGAATAAACATTTAATGAAGCAGGTGTCGGCCTTGGCGGATGAGATGGCCTCCCTTAAAAGACAGCTAACCTGCCTTACTTCTAGCCGCTCACGCAGCCGTCGTCGTTCTTGTTCGCGTCCTCGGACTGCCGATACTTGATGGTATAACACTAATTTCGACGTAAAGGCCCGTCGCCGTATCTCATCCTGCACTTTTAAGCCGAAACATGGAAACCAGGTAGCCAGAGAATAGATGCGACTGCTTTTTCTGGCGCTTCCGGCTCTGGTCGCACCTTCTATCTTTGCGGCACTGCGACTCGTAGACGTTTCCGGTGGACACTGGAGCCCAAATCATCGTTGTTCCCCCAATTGCAGCTGATCGTCGTTTCCCTAGACCTGGTCTTCACCTCAAAGCTGCGAATTGTTCCCCCATTCCCACTTTTGACACTTTGTCCCTCACCATGAACACTGGTCTTCGTCGGTCATTTACTTGGATCTTTGTGATTGCTGATGTCCCTCATGCGATCCTAGGCTCGGACTTTCTTGCCGAGTTCGATTTCTTTGTTGAATGCCGACGTGCCCGCCTCCTCGACCGCACAACCGGTCAATTTGTTCGCGGACTTACTTCCTTTACTGCCCCCACCAACTTATCTGTCTTGGATACGGATATTGCTAACCCTTTTCGATAACTGCTTCTTAATCACCCCAACATAATTAACCCGCAGTATCGCAGTGGTGAGGTCCAACATGAGATTGTGCGCCATATCCGCACCTAAGGTTCTCTCGTGTTTGCTCGATCGAGACGACTAACACCGGAGCGTTTCCAGGCCGCGAAGGCGGAGATTGAACACATGCTGCAACTGGGAATAATTCGACCGTCCGAGAGCCCTTGGGCGTCTCCACTGCACATGGTGCACAAGGCGACATCAGGCGACTGACGAACCCTGTGGCGACTATCGAGCCCTCAAGTGCGCTGCCATGCCTGATCGGTACCCCCTGCCTCATCTTCAGGACTTTGCGGGAGCTCTTTTCGGCAAAGCGGTTTTCTCGAAGATTGATCTGGTGCGTGTTTTTCATCAGATTTCAGTCACCCCTGATGACATCCCTAAAACCACCGTCACCACACCCTTCTGTCTCTTCGAGTTCATCCGCGTGCCGTTCGGGTTTCGAAATGCCACCCAAACGTTCTAGAGGTTCATCGACCTTCTCTTACGTGGCCTACCCTTTGTGTACGCCTTCATTAAAGACCTCTTAGTGGCCAGTCGGAATAAGGAAGAACACAGAGAGCATCTTGCCCTGATATGTGACTGTCTTGACAAGTTTGGCGTTGTCATCAACCCCTCCAAGCGCGTGTTGGGTGTGCCTTCGCTCGAGTTCCTCAGCCATCAGGTCGACTCTAAAAGTTTGCGTCTCCTCCCTCCAAGGTTGAAACAGTTCGTAATTTTCCTCCTCCAACTTCCAAGCGTCAGTTGCAGTGATTCCTCGGCATGGTCAATTTTTACCGCCGGTTCCTACCGAACTGTGCTGATCTCATGTTGCCGCTAACCAACATGCTTTCTGGTCTGAAAGGCCCCTTCGAGCTGACTGGTGAAGCATTAACTGCTTTTGAGAAAATCAAGAATTCTCTTGCCAATGCCACCTTACTCACGCATCCCGCTCCCGAAGCTCAGCTGTCTCTGATGGTAGATGCTTCGCCCGTAGCCGTAGGTGCAGTCCTTCAACAACACCTTGTTGATTCGACTCGACCATTTACCTTTTTCTCCAAAAAGCTCTTACCATCTGAGACACACTACAGTACCTTTGACCGTGAACCACTTGCCATTTACCTGGCTGTGAAGCATTACCGGCATTTCCTTGAAGATCGTGGCTTAACTACTTTCACTGACCACAAACCGTTGACTTTTTCACTTCGTTCCCACTCCGACAAACACAATCCGAGGGAAACCGCCCACCTGGACCACATCTCCCAATTAAACACCGACATCCGCCACATTGATGGCACGAAGAATGAACTGGCCGATATGTTGTCCAGACCCTCACTGTCTTCCTCCAACTCTCATACGGGATCGATCTTTGCGTCATGGCTGCTGAGCAACAGCGAGTCGGTTGTCCTGGCGACGAGTCTGTTAGTGGTCTCCAACTCAAAGACGTTCCTCTGACCGCCGGCTCTGGTACCATACTTTGTGACGCCTCAACTCCCTTTCATCGCTATTCCGTGCCCGTCTCGATGCGTCGAGCTGTATTTCAAACTCTACATGGACTCTCCCACCCTGGGATCCGAGCCTCTCAAAAGCTCCTCGTGGAAAGGTTTGTCTGACCTGACATGAACAAGGACGTCAAAGCTTGGGCCCGGTCGTGTCTGAGCTGCCAGCGCAACAAGGGGCAGCGTCACAACAAGTCCTCACCAGGCACTTTCCCCAGTCCCGACGCTCGGTTCAGCCATGTTCACCTGGATGTCGTAGGCCCCTTGCCTCCATCCAATGGCTTCACCTACCTCCTTACTTGTGTCAATCGATATACCGGCTGGGCTACAGCTATTCCTTTGCCGAAGACGCAGGCTGAAACCATCGTGAAGGTCTTTGTCAGTCGTTGGGTCGCCAAGTTCGGTGCCTCATCCACGGTTACGACTGATCGTGGTGCCCAGTTTGAGTTGCCATTCTTCCAAACGCTACTCAATTTCCTTGGATGCACACACATTCGGACGACAGCCTACCAGTCAGCTGCCAACGGTAGGGTTGAGCGTTTCCATCGTCAGCTAAACACCGCCCTTCGTGCCGTAGACGACCCAGGAAACTGGTCGGGCAACCTTCCTCTTGCACTCCTCGGCATACGCGCAGCTCTAAAGTCGGATCTGGGCTATAGCGCAGCTGAATTGGGTTTCGGCACTATCCTTCGATTGTTAGGCGAGATGATCACCCAAACCTCCCGTGGGACCGACGAGACTCCTGACAACCTTGTGCACCGTTTGCGGCAATTTATGCGCTCGCTTTCCCCGGTTCCACCTGAAGCTCCAATGACTGGATCTTATGCCGAAAATACTTGGACAAGTGTACTCATGCGTTCGTCCTGTGTGACCCTGTGCTCCAGCCGCTGGAATCACCATTCGAAGGACCGTTCCGCGTGCTCGCACGCAACGCCAAGATCTGTCGAATTCTTCGCGGTGACAAGGAGGACGTAGTCAGTGTAGTTTGGGTCAGGGCTGCTGTTACAGAGGAGCCGCCGGACCTTTCACAGGGACAAAAATGTGCTCACCCCCTAACTTCTGCACCTTCATCTTCCCTATCCCCTGCTCATTCACCCTGCCCACTTCATCGCCCTTCCCCTCCCTTGCCCTCTACCCTTTCTTCCCGTAACTTCCTCATTCTACTACCTGCAGCATCCTCAACAATAGCAGGCAGTCAACCCTCTTCGACTGTACCTCCTGCTTACATCACCCGCAGTGGCAGTCACGTTCATTTTCCCGATTGCTTAGTTACGCATTTTTTCTAGACTTATGCATATCCTCCGGCGCCGTATTATGTAGCCATCCAGTCTAGTAGGGGGGGAGGGGGGGGGTACTGTGGTGAGGTACAGGACTAATTTAACTTTGACAATTTAGTCCCATTTTCTTTGACCGGATTGCTTGTTTGAATGTGACGAACGACCACACACCTGTACAACCCGCCTTGCTGGAGTGCTCCGCTGCCGTGTTCTCTTGTTAATATTCTTAACGTTCAAAATCTCTATATTATTCACGCCTCAGTTTTACTGGCTGCATTTAATGTTAGGGGCTTGTGAGATATAACTCTTTAGTTCGTGAGAACATTAATACTTACATCAAGTGACAAAAATCGCATACGTGCATGCCACTCAGCGTAAGCGATGGATTCATGACAATAGGAAATGCACTCTAAAATGTTACTGAAATATAACAAGTGGTATTATAACAATATGATTTTGATGGTTTGCAAGGTTTACAGAGGTCGGGTGGTATTTAAGTGGACACCGCTATACAAATTCAACTTCCTCTTAAGGACCTCGACGTAAGCAGACATAATGACATCCAGATGCAGGGCGTTCCAAGCTTCTAGCACTCTGTTGGATAAGAAAAACTTTCGTGCGTCCAGTCTGACCCCGGTCACACGTAGTTTGGATGAATGACCTGCTAGGTTTGTGGTTTTTGCAAACTCAAAGAAGACCCTGGTACGAGGCTGAAGTCCTGGCCACGTAAGTTTGATCAGGTCACCCCGTAACCGCCTGTAACTGATGGGAAGGAAATCAAGACTAGCTAATCGCGATTTAGATTGTATCGAATCCTGTCACGTCACAAGTTTCTCTGCACGCCTTTGAACCTTTTCGAAGATGCTAAGGTTCTTTGCGGTCCTGGATCACCAAGCTTGGATAGCAAATTCCAATCGCGGCCCCACAGACGATCGAATGACTTTGACGACACAGTCTTCACCAAGGTCTGAGAGATACCTTATTCTATACCCGGAAGAATTTTTAATTTAACGTCTTCGTTAGTAAAAGGAAAACGATTTTCCACTGTTTCATGCTAGTGAACTTGCACTTCTCGAAATTTCAGAATCCCTTGCCTGAGATAGGTCTGAGATCGGCTATTATTGATTGGCACACAACACGAACGGCGGCTTATACGAAGAAGTGTCTATAGTACCTTATTTTATCGCACTATGGACGTACGGGATGTTTTGGCGTTGACGGTAGCTTCTTTTATCATTATTTTAGTTTTTTTAAACAGCCAAACTCATCCGTATCTCGAAAACGCGCTCTCCGACCTCCAGAACCCCCATCCTTCTCATCAGTTGTCCGGGCCAATGAGCTTAAAGAACCAGAAAATAAAAATCCCCGCATGTCCTCCAAAGTTTCTAAGTCTGGCTCTTCTGACCCGGACTCCATCCCTATTTTTTTAGGTATGTTTTGATCGCGGTGCATTTTTGTTGATCATCTGACAAGAGGATTTTCCTGAGCATACCCGATCATGTACAATTTTATTCGCACTCCTTAATTTGTGCGCTTTGCTTCAGCTCCTTTTTTCCATAAGCGTTTTTCTGTTAAAAAGTTTATCACTGATTACATGCGACTTATTTTCACCCGCACAGAACCTGCCGTTATACCTAGACCTGAGACGAAAGTTAGCCACCCTGAACCCTTGGAAATTGAAGAGGACCTAGGAACTGTTGGAGAAGACGATATAACAGAGTCAACTGTGCGCAAACTAACTGTTCTTCTGGAGAAGCGCATTCTAGCCAACCAGGAGGCGCGGACGAAATTCCCTGATCAACCCACGAAGTTTATGGACTCTGAAATTGAGCTTCAGGAAACTCTCGAAAGTATGCAGGTTCGTAATTTTTTATTTTATAGCTCTTGTCAGGAGGACCTCTTTCTGACTGTACCAGTTTCAATAATCGGCTATGGAGAGTCATTATATGAACATTTAATAAATTTAAGGGTCCAAATTAAGACTAAACTTAATTATATGAAACAATTGGGCGTTTGACTGTGGGCTATCACCTTCGAAATGTCATTTGCACGATCTTTCCTTGTTACGTGCGTCCTGGTGGTCTCCATCTTTTCCTTACTATTCCTGCCTAAATGTCTCTAATCATCTTATGACCCCAGACCATAGCTTTGAGCTTGATGTAATGGCATCTAAGTGTACGTTTCCAAACGATGGCCTGCAGTTCTCTTTGCAACTTGTTGACAATTTTCTCGCCATTTGGTGGACAGTTCCGCAGACTTTCAACCACTAAACTTCCAACGCCGTGAGGGATGCGTACTTTCCTCATACCTTTTCTGATAGTTTGGCTGTCGCGAGCCACGAAGTCCACCGCAGCCCAACGATGTGGGCCTAGCGATGACTTGCACGCAAATTTGTTTATAGTGGAGTAGGCTTACGCTGCATCTGCCCAACCGCTTCATACACTACAACCGTCTTTCAGTGGCAAGAAGTCGAAATAACTAAGGGTGACAGAGCTAAAGGGCCTGTCTTCGCATTCGCATGACCTTGTCTCTAAATTCACGTACGTCAAGCTTCATTCTGAAAGACCTGCAATTGCACATAAGCAAGTACATCATGAGTGCTACATTAGAACCGAGACATTGCGACCCGACACTCAGTCCTAACTTGAATCGATTTATAGCTTTTGTTATCAACCTCTCAATCCAGCACTGAAAGCGCTTCCTGGTCGATTAGAACGCATCAAATTTACTATAGCTGGGAATGCGCTGATTTTTCATGAGGATCGGTTCCCTGACGCAACAATCTCTTCCTATTATTACATGCCAGTGGTCTGTTTTTGTTAAACCAATTTGTACCTAGATGGGGCTCAGTGACTGGCCTGACATGAAAGCGGTATTCATCACACGCACTTCGTAGGGTCTGCCTGATCCAGCCGACCTCGATGGTGCCACGATCTGTGCGTCAACGGATGTAACAGTTTCTGGCAGCAGACCCGGGAGCTCTATCCACTCACTTTTCCAACGGCGGAAACTAAATGCCGACGGTCAAAGAACTACCTCCATGTCTTTACAGACCATGTTGAGCCAAGTTTTTAACTGGCCTCCTCCTTGGTACCCCCAGGTAAACATCGGCACCGGATCAAGAACGACGACATAGACCCCCTGAAGTGGACGATGAGGGACGTACTAAAACCATAGTCTTCCCATCTGAGTCGCACAAAATGTCCTCACGATGTCCGTATGAGTTCAGATTGTCCCATTTATAACACTGGTATATTTGACTTCAAGGGGGGTCCACAGGTTACAGTGGCCAAACAGCTCTGGTTCTCGCTCGTCTTCTGCGCGCAACTCAGCGATTATGACCAGACATGAGGACTGACCGGATGGATGCCCGGGACATGTGCCATTTGGGTCGTCGCGTCGAGCCCATATGAACTTCCTAAGGATTGCGAACTCCCAGTGAACAGCATCGACTGGAATGACGATGTTATCCATGATTTGTCCGTTAACTTTCCTATGAAGCTTTTTGCACTGACTGTTTCTTCAAACCGACAGCTATTAATCCCACGGGATGCTTCCTCCTATTCAGGAATGCAGCCCAAAAGCAGTCTAGCTTTTCCAGCGTTTCGGACAGCCTGACGGATTTAGCGACGTCATTCCCCCCGGCGCTGCTGCATTCTGTAAATCACCATAGCTTGACGCTAGCATTGCGATATTTTCAGCCTATTAGGGGCCTGCCAGCTGTCCTCCGCGGGCAAATTCAACATAGTCAAAATCACGTCTATCTTTTTCGAGAGCGCAACTAGTAACGTAGTTGAATAGACTGAGCGACTGAACACAACCTTGTCGCACGCCAGGTCGAGTATTAAATGGTTAGGCGAGATTTTTGTAGTTCGAAACTGGAGTAGTAATTGCCCGAAAACAGTCCATGACCACAGCAGTGACTGCCAGTGTTCTTATATCTGGTTCCATAGTGCGTATCATCGCAGACCAGCGCGATTCATACTTTACGGCCATTGGCTAGACCAACAATCTCTGTTCAACTGATGTTTCATTCACACACCGAAGGTTGTCGGATCCAACATCCTCTCCATGCTGGAGCGAACCACGTCTGGTCACTTTTATTTAATCACTGCGGCGCCAGCTCAAGTTATTGGCTGGAGAGTTGTCGTCTCGGACGAAGCCCCCTCAGGTTGACATAATCCACGACTGTGTCATCTGAGATTTCGATCCTTTACTTCAGCGCCAGTGAGTGTACCCCATTGGCGATTAATTGCAACTTCCCAGACGTCCTTTAACCATAGCCGTAATATTTCCGGTCAGTCACCTAACATGTCTTTTTTTCTCGTCAGCAGCACCTAACGGTCACGTCCCGCTTTCGTATTACAGTAAACACCCTGGTGGTTATGCGCACGAATCCTGTCTTCTGTTGAAGACTATGACGAGACGACAGGCACTAACCGACAGGCAATATTATACGCGAGTCGCATATGCCGGTTTGTCTCTCTTTGACACCAGCTTTTTAGGGCAGTAAGAATCCAATGTAGGCAAGATATTTTTCTGTCCCGATAATCCGCCGTTCAGGAGGTAGGACGCTGTTCACAACCCAAAACCGCCGAACGATTCTCTTGTTTTCTCCGCGTCACAACATGTAAGAACTGTCCGACCAAATTTGTATCGCGCCTCCATGAAGGAGTTCGTAAGAAATTTGCTGTTGTT